CCTTCTGCATTGATGAAATCTGTCAACAAAATTGAGGACCCACGGGTTTCTCCTTATTCAAAATCCTCCCCAAATAATTTTTTTTGTATATATATATATTTATATATAAATATATATTTTTATATTTAAAAGTGAATTTACAGTTAAAGGCTTAATTGCACATGCCATCAAATCATTCTTAAACACAATATTCACAACATTGGAACTCAAAACCATTAAATGTAATTCCACATGTCACAATGTCTCCTGTGCTTCGCTGTCTGAAGGTCATCTGACAGGTCAACATATTGTCATGGCAACAAGCTGATTTGCTCAAAGACATTCTAGAATAGAAGTACTGACAAATGGAATGACTGTCAAAGAAAGAGCGTCGTGTTATTAAGAAGCACGAGGCACGAGCTAGACACATTGATGCTTCAACAGCTGATTGATGTTTTTAGTAAACTGAGGGGACACTGCAGATATCTGGTTGCTCTAGCTGTACATCATTGTGACAGGACTGATTTAAAAATAATGTTAAAAGCAACATTACTGAATTAGACTGTGTAACTCTGAAACATGACGACTGGTCATAATTGTGCCACATCTCACTGTTTTTCAGTATCCTGTGCATATTAAAAGCTTTTGAAAATGCATCTGGAGACCCTAATCTCTATTTAAACAAGGCTTCATAACTGTTCAGGCTTCCCACCAAGTAGTGGATTTATTAAATGCAGCTTTGCACATCTACAACAAAGACTGTCGGATATGGTGTTCAATAATGTAACTCCTTTCATTTCCAGTTACCAACCTAGAGCCTTTCACTGACAAGACAAAATTAGAGTTTCTACTATATAAAAACATATGCAAGCAAATAACAGTCGTAAAGGCTGGTTTCCGTTCTCAATATTTACATTCATGCATAATTTATATAACACTTTATACATAAAATATATTTTGACTGCCTGCTGAGAATATATTCAGCACTCTTCACAGTGCAAAAGAAAATCTCTTTTTCTTAGGGCACTTTTTTCAGAAAGGCAGGTTCCACAGACACAAGAACAACAAATCCAAATCCACCGCTCTAACAGATCCAATTCACGCTGTCTGTCACACCAGCAAGGTCAACAACATCAGTAATTATCTTAATTATGACCTTCCTGGATTAAGGGTCATAAAACATCCTCCCACCCTTATAAGTGCATCAAACTCGTCTGCTGATTAACCCTAACCTAACATGTAATCACAACACAGCCGAGTGCTTTCAGTCTGTTCAGATGGCCGCTCTGCCTTCAGTTACTATCATTTACAAAGTACATTAGTAGCTCATTTAGTGTTCTAACCTTGAGGAGATAACCGACTAGAAATATCCAAAGTGTCATGCGCTGAAAACATCTGACCTGTGTCATGAGCATCAGATCATGCATCGACATTACACACCCCTAGTTTCAGAAATTACATTTCAGAAATTCCCAGTCCAAGTTGCATAAATCATTGTGTAAAATGTGTTTAAAAATACATGACGTGTTAACATAAAATGAACAACTATATGAAATCTATTTGTCAGACATCTGTCATTAGCTGGGTTTGTGTGATTTTACCGAACTAGCATGCAAATGTCACTGATGCAGATCAACACAGCAGCCCTGTCCCTTCTAATTGCATCCGGAGGGGCTCTGGATCGCTTTGCATTATTCCGACCTCATTGACTTTATGATTAACTGGAAATATTTCCTTTGGGTTTCACACGCTCCTTGTGCCCACCGTAGCAGTGTTGGTCTTTTTAAAAGAGCTCATGGCATCTTCTCCACAATTTGTACCATTCTTCTCCATCTTCTTCGGTTTCCTGCACATGACAATAAAAACAAGGAAACATTCTCAGGATTTGCCACCGCTGACCTGAGACAATACAGTCATGCTATAAAGACATAGTCACTTTGTCAACGTTTTTCGAGCTGAACATTCTGTCCCTCTCACAAATGACTTCTACGGCCCTGGTTGTAATCTGAGTTATATTCAGCTGTTAGAGTAAGACGGTGTTATTCAGCATGGCCTATTTATATCCTCCTGCTTTCATTGCGTCTCTGGTCATTGTATTTGTCCAGTGAGCCTGCGCTCCCTACAGTGTGTGTAATGCAGGACTGGACTGAATACAGTGGCGGGGTCTTTGTTGTGAACATGACTGTACAGCTGCTCTGTTGGTGCTGCGCTCCCTGAAGGTGCGTTAGAAGCCATCAGCAGAGAGTCCCGCATGGAGACACATCAAAAGCAGCGTGAACATATTACATGACCATCAAGAAAAACGTTACATAAACGCTAGTGCTGTTTCATTGGATAAAATATCCTTTCCTTGAGCTATTGCTAATTAAAACATCATCTGTGGGATAGAACAGCAGGGATTCACTTTAAATGAGAAAACTGCAGTAAATGCCATGAAATACTAAAGTTAATCTTAAACTATTTAAACAGCGCTGGCTCCTTCTTTTATATACTGCAGCTCAAAGGGATAGTTCACCCAAAAATGAAAATTGGCTGTTAATTTATTCACTCAGACCATCTAAGATGTAGATGGCTTTTTTTCCTCAGTAGAACAGTTCTTTTAGACAATTTGTTTCAATGAACTGTTTCAAATAATGATTCACCAGTTTGTTTACATAATCACACAATGATGTACACATTATATTATTAAAGCACCCAATAATGATGTGAAATGTGGATGTTTTGTGGATGTCTGAAGCATATAAAGCGAATAAACTAGTCTTCATCAGATCACCTTTTTACATAAACTAGCTCAATACTTGAGCGAGCTCATATCGCATTATAGTCCTTCACGTCCGCTGCGATCTCAAAACTCTTGCCATTTGATAATACCTAGAATATCAAAATCAGCTGCGGGCGGAAGATCCTTTTCCTATTTAGCTCCCAAACTCTGGAATAACCTACCTAACATTGTTCGGGAGGCAGACACACTCTGTCAGTTTAAATCTAGATTAAAGACCCATCTCTTTAACCTGGCTTACACATAACACACTAATACGCTTCTAATATTCAAATCCGTTAAAGGATTTTTAGGCTGCATTAATTAGGACAACCGGAACTGGGAACACTTCCAATAACACCCGATGTACTTGCTACATCGTTAGAAGAATAGCATTTATGCTAATATTAGTCTGTTTCTTTCTTATTCCGAGGTCACTGTAGCCACCAGATCCAGTCTGTATCGCTGGGTTTGTGTGATTTTACCGAACTAGCATGCAAATGTCACTGATGCAGATCAACACAGCAGCCCTGTCCCTTCTAATTGCATCCGGAGGGGCTCTGGATCGCTTTGCATTATTCCGACCTCATTGACTTTATGATTAACTGGAAATATTTCCTTTGGGTTTCACACGCTCCTTGTGCCCACCGTAGCAGTGTTGGTCTTTTTAAAAGAGCTCATGGCATCTTCTCCACAATTTGTACCATTCTTCTCCATCTTCTTCGGTTTCCTGCACATGACAATAAAAACAAGGAAACATTCTCAGGATTTGCCACCGCTGACCTGAGACAATACAGTCATGCTATAAAGACATAGTCACTTTGTCAACGTTTTTCGAGCTGAACATTCTGTCCCTCTCACAAATGACTTCTACGGCCCTGGTTGTAATCTGAGTTATATTCAGCTGTTAGAGTAAGACGGTGTTATTCAGCATGGCCTATTTATATCCTCCTGCTTTCATTGCGTCTCTGGTCATTGCATTTGTCCAGTGAGCCTGCGCTCCCTACAGTGTGTGTAATGCAGGACTGGACTGAATACAGTGGCGGGGTCTTTGTTGTGAACATGACTGTACAGCTGCTCTGTTGGTGCTGCGCTCCCTGAAGGTGCGTTAGAAGCCATCAGCAGAGAGTCCCGCATGGAGACACATCAAAAGCAGCGTGAACATATTACATGACCATCAAGAAAAACGTTACATAAACGCTAGTGCTGTTTCATTGGATAAAATATCCTTTCCTTGAGCTATTGCTAATTAAAACATCATCTGTGGGATAGAACAGCAGGGATTCACTTTAAATGAGAAAACTGCAGTAAATGCCATGAAATACTAAAGTTAATCTTAAACTATTTAAACAGCGCTGGCTCCTTCTTTTATATACTGCAGCTCAAAGGGATAGTTCACCCAAAAATGAAAATTGGCTGTTAATTTATTCACTCAGACCATCTAAGATGTAGATGGCTTTTTTTCCTCAGTAGAACAGTTCTTTTAGACAATTTGTTTCAATGAACTGTTTCAAATAATGATTCACCAGTTTGTTTACATAATCACACAATGATGTACACATTATATTATTAAAGCACCCAATAATGATGTGAAATGTGGATGTTTTGTGGATGTCTGAAGCATATAAAGCGAATAAACTAGTCTTCATCAGATCACCTTTTTACATAAACTAGCTCAATACTTGAGCGAGCTCATATCGCATTATAGTCCTTCACGTCCGCTGCGATCTCAAAACTCTTGCCATTTGATAATACCTAGAATATCAAAATCAGCTGCGGGCGGAAGATCCTTTTCCTATTTAGCTCCCAAACTCTGGAATAACCTACCTAACATTGTTCGGGAGGCAGACACACTCTGTCAGTTTAAATCTAGATTAAAGACCCATCTCTTTAACCTGGCTTACACATAACACACTAATACGCTTCTAATATTCAAATCCGTTAAAGGATTTTTAGGCTGCATTAATTAGGACAACCGGAACTGGGAACACTTCCAATAACACCCGATGTACTTGCTACATCGTTAGAAGAATAGCATTTATGCTAATATTAGTCTGTTTCTTTCTTATTCCGAGGTCACTGTAGCCACCAGATCCAGTCTGTATCTGTCACATGTTTGTTTCTGTTTAGTTCCTGTTTGCCCCTATTTGGTTCAGTTCCTGTTCTCATTTAGTTAATCATCGTTTATTCTGTTCACCTGTTTTGATTGATTACTCCTCACCTGTTTCTGTTCTCCCTAATTAC